GGGCGCCGGCGACGGGGACGGGGAACTCGGGGCGGTTGGCGTAGATGGCCTCGTCGAGGTTCATGGTGAAGCTGACGGGGCGTCCGGCGGCGAGGGAGAGCTTGACGTCGGTCCAGTCGGCGGCGGTGGTGTTCTCGATGATGGCGAAGGCCTGGAGGGTGAGCGTGTTGCGCTTCGCGTCGCTCGAAGAGATTTTGTCCCGGGGGATGACGAGGCGGTAGGAGGTCTTCCAGACGGGCATCTCGTGGACGTAGCTGACGGCGACGCCGCGACGGGTGGTGGAGTTGGTGGCGAAGGTGACGTCCATGTCGCGGAGGTTGTCGGTGCGGTTGTCGACGAGTGTCTGGAGGGCTCTGTTGATCTCCTGGGTGATCTTCTCGTCGGTGAAGGTGAAGCCGGTGATGTCGTCGATGTGGACGGATCTGTAGCCATTGGGCGTGATGAGGTTGACGATGACCTCGTATTGGGTGGCGTTGTCGACGACGCGGACGTTGCGGGATTCGACGCCCAGGATGGAGCCGGTGTGGGTCGCGTCGACGGTGGTGATCGTGGTTTCGACGCCGCGGAGCTGGGCGAAGATGCCGGCGACGCTGGCGGCCTTGTCGAGGTCGATGGAGAAGCGGCTCAGTCGACGGGCGAGGTCCTCGGTGGACTGGTAGCTGACGGAGGAGGTGGCGTTCTTGTCGGTGTCGAGGAGGAGGAGCGACTTGAGGACGTCGTCGACGTGGTCGGTGTCGAAGGTGAGTTCGAAGGTCTCGGCGCCCTCGATGGCGGCGGCGTGGGTGAAGGAGCCGACGCCGGAGCGGTAGAGGGTGAGGTGGGTGAGTGGGAGGTGGGCGTCCGCGGCGTGCGCGCTGATGGCGGTTCCGGCGATGAGGGCGATCGCGGCGATGGGGGTGCGCGTCATGGTGGGGCTCCGTGGTGTGGGTGCGGTGCTGGGAAGTGCGTGTATGTTCTACACTTGGACGTTGAGATCGGTTCGGCGTTCTCGCAACGGTGAGAAGAAATCGAGGTATCACACGTGACTCAGGCGACGCTCTGTGCCGGTATTCCGGCGACGAATCTGACGTTCTTCCACCGGGTGAAGTTCATGGTTGGCGACCCGGCCGCGCTCATCGAGATCGATGGGAAGCGGACGTTCATCCTGCGCGACATCGAGGTGGCGCGTGCGAAGAAGCACGCGAAGGCGGACGCGTTCGCGTGCCCGAAGGACTTTGAGCCGAGCGGGGGATTGAGCGGTGATCGCGAGACGGCGACGGCGCAGGCGGTCGCGGAGTGTCTGCGGCGCGCGGGGGTTGAGCGTGTGGTATCGGATCGGACGCTTCCGTTCATCTTCGCGCACTTTGTGAGGGACGCGGGGATGGAGATCGTGTGCGATCCGTCACTCTGGGTCGCGGATCGGCGCGCGAAGACGGAAGAGGAAGTCACGGCGCTTTCGAAGTGTCAGCGTGTGACGGAGGAGACGGTGGCGATGGCGTGCGAGGTGGTGGCGCGCGCGACGGCGGGGAAGGGGGGCGTCCTGATGCACGAGGGTTCGCCTCTGTCGAGCGAGCGGGTGCGCACGATGATCGACATTCATCTGCTCGGACAGGGGTTCGCGAACGGGCCTTGCATTGTGGCCGGCGGGCCGCAGGGGGCGGACTGTCATGATCGCGGGCGCGGGGAGCTGCGGACGGGGGAGACGGTGATCATCGACGTGTTCCCGCAGGACCGGGAGACGCGCTACAACGGGGACTGCACGCGGACGGTGGTGCACGGGGATGTGCCGGACGAGATCGCGGCGGCGCACGCGGCGGTGGTGAAGGCGAAGGCTTCTGCGATCGCGGCGACGCGCGCGGGGGCGACGGGGGAGGACGTGCACCGCGCGACGATCGGGGAGATCGAGGGTGCTGGTTACGCGATGGGCTTTGGGGAGTCCCCCGATGTGCGGATGGTGCACGGGACGGGGCACGGGGTGGGGCTCGAGGTGCACGAGCCGCCGCTGCTGGATCTTGGCGGGCCGGAGCTGGTTGCTGGTGATTGCCTGACGATCGAGCCGGGGTTGTACTGTGAGCGGTGGGGTGGGATTCGGGTGGAGGATATGGTGATTGTTGAGGGGGGTGGGTGTGTGAATTTGAACTCGGTGGGGGAGGGGTTGAGCTGGCGTTGAGAAATGGCCAAATAGCAAATGGCTCAAGGGCCAAATGAATGAGGAGCGCGGCTTCGCCGCGGGTTGAGTTGGGCGTGATTCACCTTTGGTGATTCACGCAACCCTCACCCTGCCCTCTCCCTCGGGGAGAGGGTGCTGAGGTGCGCGGCTTTGCCGCGGGTTGATTTGAACGGAAGACAACCCACCCCAACCCCTCCCTCTGGGAGGGGCTTGAAGGAGCGCCGCTTCGCGGCGGGTTGATATTGACGCAAGCGTTTGCGGGGGGCTGTTGTGTTTCAGCGTTCTTGAACACGGACTCCGGGTGGTTCGGCGTGTCCGCTCGTTTCCACTCGCGGTTGCTATGGGTTCCGCTGTGTGCTGCTGATATTGAGGATTGGGCGTGCACTCTGGTGAGGAGCGCCGCTTCGCGGCGGGTTGAGTTGGCCCCTCATCCGGCCGGCTTCGCCGGCCACCTTCTCCCGCGCCCCCGGAAAGGGGAGAAGGGGCAGTTGCCGGGGATCGCCTTGTTTCAGCGTTCTTGAACACGGACTCCGGGTGGTTCAGCGTGTCCGCTCGATGACTCTCGCGGTTGCTATGGGGGTCTCCGTGTACTCCGATCGCGAAGACCCTCATCTGTCGACGGCTGAAGGTTCGTCGACATCTTCTCCCACAGGGAGAAGGGGCTCGGGGTTGCTCCCTGGAGCGCGGCCTGAGGGTGGGCGCGGGATGGGATGGTCCCCTCACTGGCGTTCGGGGTTGCCATGGGGGTTGGGGGGTGCCTCGGGATGGGTTTTGGGGTGGGGGGAAAGGGTGACCGACGGGATTCGAACCCGCGACTTCCTGGACCACAACCAGGTGCTCTAACCAGACTGAGCTACGGCCACCGTGATGTGCCCTGTGGGGGCAGGACGGGCATTGTTCACCGGGGAGGGCGGTGCGTCAACTGTCCGGAGGAGGAATCGGTGCGAAATGGCGGGTTGATGGGCTTGGAGGGGGTGTTTCGCGGCGCCTGGGGTGGGTTTGGAGTCGCACCTTTGGAGGGGCGTTGCTACAATCGCCGATCCGCTTGAAACGGCCCGATCGGGTCGATTGCTGCCACATTCTTCAACCCGAATTCCCCGACCCGGAGGCACGTTTCCATGCCCTCTACCGCCCCGTCCTCGAACCTTGGCATTGCGCCGGAGCGCATGCACCGGAACCTCTCGACGCCCGCGCTGATCGAGCACGCGCTGGCGCGCGGCGAGGGCAGGCTGGCCTCGAACGGGACGCTGGTTGTCTCGACGGGCGAGCGGACGGGCCGGAGCCCGAACGACAAGTACCTCGAGGACACGCCGGAGGTGCACGAGAACATCTGGTGGGGGAAGGTGAACCGTCCGATCTCGAGCGAGGGTTTCGAGAAGCTGTACGAGATCGCGGTGGACTTCATGTCCAACCAGGACGAGGTGTACGTCTTCGACGGGTTCGTCGGGGCGGACGAGAAGTACCGGCTGGGGTCGCGGACGTACACGACGTTCGCGTGGCACTCGCTGTTCGTGAAGACGCTGTTCATCGAGCCGACGGAGGGTGAGCTGGCCGGGTTCAGCCCGGACTGGACGATCATCAACTGCGGGACGATGAAGCTGAGCAAGGCACAGGCGGAGGCGGCGGGGATTGACCCGACGGGGATCTGCATCGCGCAGTCGCTGACGCGCAAGTGCGTGCTGATCTTCGGGACCGAGTACGCGGGGGAGATGAAGAAGTCGCTGTTCTACGCGATGAACTACGACATGCCGGACGTGGACGTGTTCCCGATGCACTGCTCGAGCAACGTCTCGAAGGCGGACGAGAACAACGTGGCGCTGTTCTTCGGGCTCTCGGGGACGGGCAAGACGACGCTGAGCGCGGACCCGAACCGGGCGCTGATCGGCGACGACGAGCACGGGTGGTCCGAGCGGGGCGTGTTTAACTTCGAGGGGGGCTGCTACGCGAAGGCGATCAAGCTGACGGAGGAGGGGGAGCCGGAGATCTGGCGTGCGATCCGCTTCGGGTCGGTGCTCGAGAACGTCGTGATGGACGAGGATTCGCGGGTGGTGGACTACTTCGACGCGAAGTACACCGAGAACACGCGGGTGACGTACCCGGTGGAGTTCATCGACGGGGCGCGGATCCCGAGCGTGGGTCTGCACCCGAAGAACGTGATCTTCCTGACGGCGGACGCGTTCGGCGTGCTGCCTCCCGTGAGCAAGCTGACGGCCGAGCAGGCGATGTACTACTTCATCAACGGGTACACGTCGAAGCTTGCGGGCACGGAGGCGGGGGTGACGGAGCCGGTGCCGAACTTCAGCCCGTGCTTCGGCGGGCCGTTCCTTCCCCGTCACCCGACGAAGTACGCCGAGATGCTCAAGGAGCGCATGGAGAAGCACGGCGCGGACGTGTGGCTCGTGAACACGGGGTGGTCGGGCGGCGGGTACGGCGTGGGCGAGCGGTTCAGCCTGAAGTACACGCGGGCGATGATCACGTCGATCCTGGACGGCTCGCTCGCGCGCGCCGGGACGAGCGCGCACGAGGTCTTCGGGTTGCACATGCCGACGTCGATCCCGGGCGGTCTCGTGCCGGACGACGTGCTGAACCCGAGGAACACGTGGTCCGACAAGGCGGCGTACGACGCGAAGGCGAAGGAGCTGGCGTCGAAATTCCGCGAGAACGACCGGAAGTTCGAGATGAGCGACGCGGTGCGCGCGAGCGGGCCGAACGTCTGACGCGGCCCGGGCTCCGACGCGGGATTCCTCGTTGACATCCGGCACAAAATGTGCATGGTAAAGGGTTCGCGCCCGGTTTCCTTTTCGCGAGTGTGACGACCCTTTCCTTCAGCACCGGGCGCGCAGGTGGATCCATGACTGAGCGTGCGCGCGTTGTTGAGGCGTTCCGGGGTGAGGACGAGGTGGGTCCGGACGAGTTCTCGATCCGGTTCCCCAAACAGAGCGAACTGGAGCAGGACGAGGAGTGGTGCGAGGTGTTCCTCGACGGCTCCTGGGAGCGGTTCCGGTTCCACGACTACACCGAGATCTACAACGTCCCCGGCTTGTACGAGCGGCTGTTCTACCAGACGCTGCGGTGCTGCTCGCCGGAGCGCGTGGTGTCGGCGCTCGGGGGCGTGCTGCGAGACCAGGAGGTCGACCCGACGGGGCTGCGGGTGCTCGACGTCGGGGCTGGGAACGGGATGGTGGGGACGGAGCTGCGCCAGATCGGGGCGCGGACGGTGGTGGGGGTCGACATCCTCGAGGCGGCGCGGGAGGCGACGTTGCGCGATCGGCCGCACGTGTACGACGAGTACCTCGTGAGCGACCTGACGGGGCTGGAGAAAGACGAGGAGGCGGGGCTGCGGGTGTGCCAGTTCAACGCGATGACGTGCGTGGCGGCGCTGGGGTTCGGGGACATCCCGCCGGAGGCGTTCTGCAGCGCGTACAACTTCGTGGGCGTGGACGGGTGGCTGGCGTTCAACATCCGCGATCTGTTCCTGGACCGGAAGGATCAGACGGGGTTCTCGCGCCTGATCAACACGATGCTGAACGAGCGATTCATCGAGCTGCACGCGTACCGGCGGTACGTGCACCGGCTGACGATCGGGATGGAGAAGCTCTCGTACGTGGCGCTGGTGGCGAAGAAGCTGCGGGACTTTGAGGATGGGGAGGTGGAGGGGTTGATTGCGCGGAGCGGGTAGAAGAAGGCATCAGGCTCCAGCCATCAGGCATCAGGGGAGAGGTGCGCGGCTTTGCCGCGGGCTGAATGGGAGTGAACCCACCCCGACCCCTCCCTCCCCCCGGAGTGGGAGGGGCTTGGAGGAGCGCCGCTTCGCGGCGGGCAAGGTGTGTTGGACTCCGGATATCGCCTTGCTTCAGCGGACTTGAACACGGACTCCGGATGCTTCAGCGTGTCCGCTCGTTTCCACTCGCGGTTGCTATGCACATCGTGTGGTTGGACGCGTCGTCCGCTCCCTGACGGTCGCGGTTGCTATTGGGTGACGAGTTTTCGTTTGCGGATGTTTTCGTTGCCGAGCTGGCCGCAGGCGGCCATGGTGTCTCGGCCTTTGGTCTTGCGTTGCTTGCAGAACTGGCCGCGGGATTCGAGGCGGCGGAGGAAGGCCTGGACGGACTCTTCGGTCGGCGCTGGCCAGGGTGAGTTTCGGCGTGGGTTGTAGGGGATGACGTTGAGGCAGCAGGGGACGTTGCGGAGGCGGTCGGCGATTTCGTCGGCGTGCTCGGCGGCGTCGTTGACGCCGGGGATGAGGACGTATTCGGCGCAGATCTTGGAGTTGGCCTTGACGGGCCAGCGTTCGAGGGCGGGGATGAGGTCCGCGAGGGGCATGGCCTTGTTGATGGGCATGATGGTGTTGCGGATCTCGTCGTTGGGGGCGTTGATGGAGACGGCGAGGCCGAGCTGTTTGTTGCCCTCGCGTGAGGCGAACTCGCGGAGCTTGGCGATGCCGTCGAGGCGGCCGACGGTGGAGACGGTGATGCGGCGCATGGCGACGGCGGCGCCGGCGTGGTCGGTGAGGGCTTCGATGGCGGCGATGACGGCGTCGATGTTGTCGAGGGGCTCGCCCATGCCCATGAAGACGATGTTGGTGATGTCGACGCCGAGGTGGTGCTTGGCGGCGAACCACTGGGCGAGGATCTCTTCGCTCGTCAGGGAGCGGAGGAGGCCCATCTGCGCGGTTTCGCAGAACTCGCAGCCCATGGCGCAGCCGACCTGGGAGGAGACGCAGAGGGTGTGGGAGATCCCGTGGCGTTTGCGCATGGGGATGATGACGGACTCGGTCTCGAGGTCGGTGCTGTTCGTGACCTGGGGGAGCGAGCGGCCGGCGGGGTCGTTGGGTGTTCCGCGGAGTTTGAGGAGGAACTTGCGTGTGGTGAGGCCGTCGGCTTCGGACTCTTCGATGCGGTGGGGAGCGGGGGCGAAGGCGTTCGGGAATGGGGCGAGGTCGCCGGTGCGGAGGGCGCGGGTGTAGCGCTCGCGCGCTGCGGGGGCGCTGAGGTTGGAGTCGGCGGTGAAGCGGGCGAGGGTTCGGCCGAGGGGGGATGGGAGGGTGGTCGGTTGCATGGGGAGGGGTAGTGTAGGGCATGAAAAAGGCCGCACCTTCGGGGTGCGGCCTTTGGGGTTCGGTGTCGTGCCTCGTGCTTACATGCTGTCGAGCATGCGGGTGAGGTCGTCGAAGTCGATTCTGCCGTCGGAGTTGAGGTCGGATTCGAAGGTGTAGTTGCGGTCGACGTAGACGGTGGAGCCGAATCCGAGGACGAGGTTGACGAGGTTCTTGAAGTTGAACTCGGGCTGGTTGCCGGAGACGGAGGGGGCGATGATGGGGTTGAAGATGGTGCCGCCGAGCTGGCTGGTGCGCCACGCGAGGCAGTACTGGACGTCGCCCTCGACGCCGTTGAGGAAGAGGTCGTACTCGGTCTCGATCCACTCGACGCGGAGGACGTAGTTGTCGCCGTTGGGGTCGCCGCCGGCGGGGGACTGGTAGGTGATGTGCTCGAGGTTGGAGAAGGTCGAGTCGGACTGGGCGACCATGCCGGCGGCCTCGCCGAATTCGTTGGAGATGAAGAGGGTGAGGTCGAGGTTCTCGAGTTCGAGGGCGGAGACTTCGCCGACGCCGGGGTTGGAGAGGTTGTTGAAGTTGGGTTCGTCGACCTCGACGCGTCGGTTCCAGACGAGTGTGGCGGTGATGACCATGCCGGGCTCGACGTCGGTGAGGACGTAGTCGACGAATCCGACGCGTCCTTCGTTGGGGACGGTGCGGACGCCGACCTGGGCGAGGTCCCAGCCGGTCTGCTCGACGAGGAGCGGGTCGAAGCCCATGGGGTTCTGGCCGGCGCGGGGGAGGCCGGGCTGGCCCGGGATGAAGGGGAGGGTGGTGTTCTGGAGGTTGCCGGTGACGGGGCGCTCGACCCGCATGGGGACGACGCCGGGGTTGCCGCCGCCGAGCGGGGGGTCGCCGTTGTCGGCGAGGGGCCGGACGAACTCTTCCTCGTTGGCGGCGGTCCGTGCGGAGGCGAGGCTTGCGCGGATCTCGACGGGTGACTGTCCGCGCTCGGCGAGCGAGGGGAAGTCGGGGTCGGTCTGCTCGAGCTCGCCGATGATGGGGCCGACGGCGGGGAAGGGATCGGGGACCGGGGGGACGAAGACACGGGTGACGATGGATCGACGCGGGGGCGTCTGGGAGAGGTCACGGGTGATGTCGCCGGGGTTGGCGCCGGCGAACTGGGCGAAGAGGACCTGCATGTCGAGCCAGCCGCCGCCCTGTGCGTAGTCGAGGGGCTGGTCGGACTCTGGGTCCCAGAGGTCGAGCTGGGTGCCGGTGGTGCCCATTTCCATGCGTCCGTCGCGGGCGTCCTGGGGCATGCCGGGGTCGCCGTTGTTGGACCAGCCTTCCATCTTCTGAGCGGAGTTGATGAGGCAGGCCTTGTAGATGAGGGGGCTGTAGGGGACCTCGTCGTCCATGAGGGTGGTGAAGTCTTCCATGAGGGCGACGGCGCCGGCGACGATGGGTGCGGCGAATGAGGTGCCGACGAGCGAGGTGAAGTCCTGCTCCTGGCCAAGCACCGGGAGGTCGGGGTCGAAGGCCGGGACGGCGAGCGACTCGCGGAGGCGCTTGCCGGGGTAGGGGCAGGCGTTCTGGAAGGGGGTCTCGGAGACGGCGCCGGAGGCGGGCGCGATGAGGTGGACACCCGGGCGGGTTTCCATCATGACCATCTCGTTCACGTAGTCGTAGGAGTCGATGGGGCCCTTGGCGGAGAATGTGGGGAGTCGGAGGATGTCGTCCTGGAAGTTGTCGCCGTTGTCGTCGCCCATGACGGCGTCGTCCTCGGTGCCGAACTGTGTGGCGACGCCGCCGACGACGATGGCGTTGAAGCAGGTGGCGGGGTTGTTGATGGTGCGGGCGCCGACGAATGCGCCGCCGGGCTGCATGGGGTCGCCGTCGAACTCGCAGGTGGCGGTGCGGTCGATGCCGCCGGAGTCGCCGGCGGGGAGGACGACGGTGACGTCGCGCATCCAGACGAGGGCGTCGAAGGCGATGGCGAGGTCGCCGTCGCCGGTGATGCCGGGGAAGTCGGAGGTGACGCCGCCGAAGCTGGCGTTGATGATGGTGGCGGGGGCCGGGAGGCCGATGGTGGCGGTCGCGATGAGCGGATCGGTGAGGCCGAAGAGGGAGTAGTAGAGGGCTTCGAGGCCGATGAGGCCGGTGCCGCCGGAGGTGATGAAGACGGCGGGGGCGCCGGTGCCGAGGGGGGACTCGGTGGCGACGCCGACGAAGTCGATGTCTTCGAGCGTTCCGCCTCTGGGCATGAAGAAGGGCTGTCCGACGGCCGCGGCGGAGACGGCGGTGGGGTGCTCGCCGATGACGCTGGTGATGGCGCGGTCGGGGTCGCTGGGGCCGGTGCCGGGCCATGCGGCGATGGCCTGGGTCTGGTTGTCGAGCGTGGCGTGCGAGAGGTTGGGCTGGAGCGACTCGACGACGCCGATGACCGCGCGCTGGCGCGGGGGGTCGAGGGTGGAGAAGTCCACTGGTGTGTTGCCGCCGTCGGTGCGGAGGCCGAGGGCGGTCCACATGCCGATGTTGAGTCGTGCCTCGTCGTTGAGGAAGAGCTGGAACTCGTCGGTGAGTCCGGGGATATCGGTGGGCACGGCGCGGGCGGTGAGGATGTAGCGCTGGACCTCGTCGTTGGTGTCGCCCTGGACGCGGATGAACCACTGGCCCATGTCGTCGACGGTGGAGGTGAATGTGAATTCCTCGGTTTCGCCGATGGCGCCGCTGTCGATGGTCTGGGTCTCGACGCCGTTGTTGTCGAAGATGGTCATGCTCAGGTTCTGCAGCGCGCTGCGGTTGACCTGCATGTTGTCGGCGGGGTCGCAGCCGTTGACGGGGTCGCGTGCGACCTCGCTGATGGTGGCGGTGCCGCCGTCGGGGATGAGCTGGAAGGTGAAGATGGTGTCGGGGCCGTTGACGACGAATGAGTAGAAATCGATGTCGCCGTTGCGGTCGATGGAGATCGGCCCGAGGGTCTGGGGGCTGGTGATCGACGGGAGGCTCGACATGATGACGAAGTCGTTGTTGGGATCGTCGGGGCTGACGCCGATGAGGCTGGCGCCGCCCATGGTGTCGTTGACCTCGCCGCCGTCGCCGTAGAGGCGGTGGACGGCGCGGACGTCCTCGAACTGCGGGCCGGCGTTGTTGTTGCCGACGAGCGGGTCGCGTCGCATGAGGATGTCGCCGGTCTCGGGGCAGGCCTCGAGGAGGCCGACGGAGAAGCCGATGGAGCGGGCGATCTGGTTGAAGAGGAACTGAAAGTCGACGGAGGAGTCGAGCGCGGCCCAGTTCTCGTTGACGTCGAGGATGACGTGGCCGGCCATGGCGGCGGCGACCTGTGAGTCGGTGCCCTGGGTGTCGATGAGCTGGCCGCCGGGGCCGTCGAGGTCGGCCATGCCGATGCGGATGTCGCCGATGAGCGGCGCGTTGGCGTCGGTCTGGGGGCCTTCGGTGAACCAGGCGGAGCCGGCGTCCCAGGCGTTGAAGTCGACGTCGTCGTCGGGGATCATGGGGTCGACGGCGGCGCGCTTGGTTTGCGAGAAGGAGAGGCCGGAGCGGAGTTCCCAGGACTCGAAGGCTTCGTCGAAGACCTCGAGCCAGCCGCCCATGGAGTTGCCGGCGGCGCCGGACGTGCCGTCGCGTCCGCCGAACTGGAAGCGGGGGTCGGCGGGGTCGGTGACGCCTTCGCCGAAGAGGTCATCGAGGGTGGTGAACAGGGCCGAGGGGCCGCGGTTGACGCCGTTGGAGTCGGTGAGGACGAGCCCGTCGGGGACGAGCGACCAGCTGAGTGAGAGCGGGGTGCCGTTGGCGTCGCCGGCCCATCGCATGCCTTCGGCGAATGGGAGAATCGGCGGGGCGCCGTCCTTGTCGCCGTTGATGATGCCGATGAGCTTCTCGCTTCCCGCGTTCGCGATGGGCTGGACGCGCAGCTGCGCTTGCGCGGCGGCGGTGATCGCGAGGGAAAGGGTGGCGAGGAGCTGGATGCGTGTCGGATGATTCATCATTGATCATCTGCCTTTCTTGACATCCCTGTGTCGAATCGAATCAGCCTTGCGCCGAGGGCGCCCGGCCGGTTGAGGCCCGGGTGGGTATCTGCGTGTGGAGGACAAGTTGTCCCGCCGGAACGGGCGTTTGTCGCGCCTTGTTGAGTATATACCAACCTGGGGCTGACGTCGTACCGGAGAGTCGTGGGTGTAAATCCCATTGTTTCAAAGGTTTATGCCTGGAGTCGCGGATGGTGATCCGGCGTTCGCGGGAAGTTCTCGGTCCTGGGTCGGTTGGACGGGTCACCGGGGTGCGGGTTCGGCGAATTCTGCCCGCGGCATGGCGAATCACGCGGATGTCGTCGCGGTGTGATTCGGGGTGTCGCGGGGGTGTGTTCATGGGGGTCGTGTTCGCTCTCTGATCGTGTCATCGGTGTCGATGACATGCGGGAGTCTATACGCGGGGTGAAATCGTGGGATCCCCTTGCTGCTTCTGAATTTGCGCCCCCCTGCCAAAAGGCAGCGGGGTGGTGGGCGCGGTTGCTTTGCCCGGGATTTTTTCGGGAACGGGGTGAAAAGCGGCCTGCGGCGGGCTGAATTGGCGGAGGGGGGGCTGGTTTTGATCGTGCAAAGGGTCGTGGATGGTCCGGTATAGTGGGCAGTCCCGCATGAAAAACACACACAGAAGGAGTGCCCGCATGGCTCGCTCACCGCTTGGTCTGTCTCTCGTCGCCCTTTCGGGGCTGGTCTGTTCGGCTGGCGGCTCGGCGGTCGCGCAGGAGGTGTCGTCGAACTGGTTCCGTTCTCCGGCGATTTCTCCGGACGGCTCGACGATCGTGTTCACGCACGGCGGCGACCTGTACACGGTGCCGTCGTCGGGCGGGCGTGCGATCCCGCTGACGTTGCACGCGGCGTACGAGACGAGCCCGGTGTGGTCGCGTGACGGCGAGCGGATCGCGTTCGCGAGCGATCGGAACGGGAACTTCGACGTGTACGTGATGGACTCGAAGGGCGGGACGGCGACGCGTCTGACGTACCACTCCGCGGACGATTTCCCGAGCGACTTCACGCCGGACAGCTCGGGCGTGCTTTTCTCGAGCGCGCGCATGGACGATGCGAGCAGCCCGCTGTTCCCGAGCGGCGTGCTCGCGGAGCTGTACGAGGTGTCGCTCGAGGGGGGGACGCCGGAGATGGTGTTCACGACGCCGGCGCTGAATGCGCGGTTCGACCGGGCGGGCGGCCGGATCATCTACGAGGACCGGAAGGGGTACGAGGACGAGCTGCGGAAACACCACACGTCTTCGATCGCGCGGGACGTCTGGGTGTACGACGTGGCGGGCGGGTCGCACTCGAAGCTGACGGAGAACTCGTCTGAGGACCGCGACGCGCACGTCTCGCGGGACGGGGAGCACGCGATCTTTCTGAGCGAGCGGAACGGGGACTTCAATGTCTTCCGGATGCGGCTCGGGGGCGACGGGCGTGCGGAGCAGCTCACGCGGTTCGAGGATCACCCGGTGCGACACCTGAGCAAGGCGAGCGACGACACGCTGGCGTTCTCGTGGCACGGCGATATCTACACGATGGCGCCGAACGGTCGGCCCGAGATGGTGGAGATCGAGATCGCGCTGGACGGCCGGAACGGCGAGGTGGACCGTCGGACGATGCGTGGCGGGGCGAGCGAGTTCGCGGTGTCGGAGAGCGGGAAGGAGATCGCCTTCATCGTTCGCGGTGAGGTGTTCGTGACGAGCGTGGATTTCTCGACGACGCGCCGGATCACGAACACGCCGGAGCAGGAGCGGAGCGTTGACTTTGCGCCGGACGGGCGTTCGATCATCTACGCGAGCGAGCGGGGCGGGACGTGGGACATCTACCGATCGAAGCTGGCCGACGATGACGAGCTGTATTTCTTCAGCGCGACGCGGATCGAGGAGGAGGCGATCGTCTCGACGGATGCGGAGGAGTTCCAGCCGATGTTCTCTCCGGACGGGGAGAAGGTGGCGTACCTGCACAACCGGACGGTGGTCAAGGTTCTCGATCTGGAGTCCGGCGAGACGGTGACGGCGCTGGACGGGGACACGTACTACAGCTACTCGGACGGGGACCACTGGTTCCGCTGGTCGCCGGACGGGGACTGGCTCGCGGTGCACTACTACAACCGGGGCCGGGCGTTCGTGCCGGAGGTGGGGCTTGTTCCGTCCGACGGCTCGAACACGGAGCCGGTGGACATCTCGAACTCGGGGTACGACGACAACTCGCCGGAGTTCGCGATGGGGGGCGAGGCGGTGATCTGGTCTTCGGCGCGGTACGGCGAGCGGAGCCACGGGAGCTGGGGGAGCGAGTACGACGTGATCGGCGCGTTCCTGACGAAGGACGCGTACGACAGGTTCTCGATGAGCAAGGAGGAGTACGAGCTCCAGAAGGAGCTGGAGGAGAAGAAGAAGGAGGACGAGGAGGAAGCGAAGGAGGAGGAAGAGGGCGACGAGGCGGGTGAGGGCGACGGCGAGGCGGCCGATGGGGAGGGTGACGAGGCCGAGTCGGAGGACGAAGAGGAGGAGGTCGAGTCGATCGAGATCGACTGGGGCGGCATCGAGGACCGGACGGTGCGTCTGACGATCCACGCGAGCGACCTCGGCGGGAAAGTGATGAGCCCCGAGGGCGACAAGCTGTTCTACCTCGCTCGTTTCGAGGACGGGTACGACCTGTGGGTGCACGATTTCCGGGAGGAGTCGACGAAGATCCTGACCAAGCTCGGCGCGAGCAGCGCGGCGATGGAGATGAGCGAGGACGGGAAGACGATCTACATGCTCTCGGGCGGCTCGCTCAGCAAGATCACGACGTCGGACGGGAAGAAGGAGGGGATCTCCTTCGCGGCGGAGATGGAGATCGACGGTGACGGCGAGCGGGCGTACCTGTTCGATCATGTGTGGCGCCAGACGAAGCAGAAGTTTTACCGCGAGGACCTGCACGGGGTGGACTGGGCGTTCTACTCCGATCAGTACGAGCCGAAGGTGGCGGGTGTGAACAACAACCGCGACTTCGCGGAGGTGCTCTCGGAGCTGCTGGGCGAGCTGAACGCGTCGCACACCGGCGGGCGGTACTTCGGCGGCGGCGGCGATGGCGACGCGAGCACGGCGGCTCTGGGTGTGTTCTACGACAACGATTACGACGGCGACGGGTTCCGGATCGAGGAGGTCATGGATGGGAGCCCGCTGGACACGGCGGAGAGCCGCGTGGAGGCGGGGGTGATCCTGACGCACGTCGACGGCGTCGAGCTGGCGGGCGGCGTGAACCTGTTCGAGCAGCTGGACGCGAAGGCGGGCGAGCGTGTTCGGCTGACGTTCCGCGCGGCGGACGGCGAGTCGTTCGACGAGGTGGTGAAGCCGATCAGCCTGGGCGCCGAGAACCAGCTGCTGTACGACCGGTGGACGAAGACGCGTCGCGAGCTTGTCGAGGAGCTGTCCGGCGGTCGACTCGGGTACGCGCACGTGCGTGGGATGAACGACGCGAGCTTCCGTGCGTTCTACTCGGAGGTGATGGGGCGTCACTTCGAGAAGGAGGCGTTGATCGTCGACACGCGGTTCAACGGCGGCGGTTGGCTGCACGACGACCTGGCGACGTTCCTGACGGGCGAGGAGTACGTGAGCCTGTATCCGCGGAACGACGAGGCGCCGGGCAAGAAGTACTTCGGCGACCCGCTCACGCGGTGGACGAAGCCGAGCGCGGTCGTGATGAGCGAGAGCAACTACTCGGACGCGCACTTCTTCCCGTGGGTGTACACGGAGCTGGAGATCGGCCCGACGATCGGCATGCCGGTTCCGGGCACGGCGACGGCCGTGTGGTGGGAGCGGCTGCACACGGGCGATCTGGTGTTCGGCATCCCGCAGGTCGGGACGAAGGGCGCTGCCGGGACGTACCTGGAGAACGATCAGCTCGAGCCGACGCACCGCCAGCCGCTGTACCCGGACGCGGTGAACGACGGGCGGGACACGCAGATCGAGAAGGCGGTCGAGGTGCTGCTCGAGCAGCTCGACGAGGGCTGAATATCGTCTGAATTCTTTGCGCCGATGGGAGGCCCGTGATGGGCGGAATATCGGTGCGCGCCGGGCGGTTCGCGGGGTGTGAAAGGGGCTTGCGATGGGCGCGAACGAATCCAAGGGTGCGACGGCGACGCGGTGGGGCGCGAAGGGCGTGGCGATCGGCATTTTCGCGTACGTGGGGGTGGTTCCGAAGCTCATCGCCCCGTCGATGTCGGAGCCACTGGTTGAGCGGCTGTCGTCGTTCGGCGGGCGGGTCGCGGTGACGGGGATCGGCGTGATGGAGCTGGCGGCGATCGTGCTGCTGCTGATCCCCGGCACGGCTCGTTTCGGCGCGTTGCTGGGGGTGGCGATGATGCTCGGCGCGGTCGGGGCGCACTTCGGGCCGGTGGGGTTCGAGGGGGACTTCGCGGGTGTGTTCGCGATGGCGCTGGTGGCGCTTGCGGCGTCGGTGGTGGCCGCGGTGCTGGAGTGGAAGCGCCATGCGTCGGGCGGTGGTGTATCGGACGTGCGCTGATCCCCGATGAGCGGGGATTGCGTGGGGCTGCGTGGTCGATCGCACGTTTGTGTGCGGCAGTTTTCGCGGGCGGGCTCGCTTCTGTGGATGAATATTCCGATTCATTCTGGCCATGGTTCCCTTTGACCAAGAGCCCGAGAACCCGCAGTCGACGCGTGTGCGTATGCGCGTTCTGATTTTGGGATTTGTGATTGCGGCCTGGGCGATGGTGGTCGCCGGGGGATTCGGGGTGATGTTCGCGTATTCGATTCGCCCGGGCGAGGTGGACTCGGTCCCGGCGGTGTTCGAGCCTTCGCTGCCGGGGACGGAGCGGGCGCGGGTTCATCTGTTCGTGCACCCGCATTGCCCGTGCACGCGGGCGAGCGTGGAGGAGTTCGAGCGGTTGCTGCTCTCGTCGGGGGTGAGCGGCGAGGGTGTCGCGGTGGCGTACGTGTGCTGGGATGAGGGGGACGGTTCGGTTCTGGACACGAGCGGGCTGGTGAGGCGGCTTGGTCGTGTCCCGGGCGTGCGCGTCGTGCATGACGGGGCGTTGGGTCTGGCGTCGCGGCTGGGCGTGCGGACGTCCGGGCACGTGATCGTGCTCGGTAGCGGGGGATCGGTTTTGTTCTCGGGCGGGGTGACGGCGTCGCGCGGGCACGGGGGGGCGTCGGGGGCGTGGGATTCGGCGCTGCGCGCGATGCGCGGTGAGGAAGGGGGCGGCTCGCGGCGACCGGTGTACGGCTGCTCGCTGTTTGACCCTGCTGCGTGCGCTGAGCTGTGCGGGGTGCCGGGATGATGATGGCGGATTTCGCGAAGCCGAAGGCGTCGGCCGACGCGGTCGAGGCGGTGATGCGGAAGGAGCATTTTCGGCTGATCCGCGATTCGAACCGGGTGTTCGTCGCGGTGCTGCTGCTGCAGTGCGTGGGGGTGATCGCGCTGGCGCTTCTGGTGACGCCGCGGACGTGGATCGGCGATCGGCCGGGGGTGCACCTCCACGTGATCGTGTCGCTATTGCTGGCGCCGGCGCTGGCGGCGCTGCCGCTGTGGCTGATGTGGCGTCGCCCGACGGATCGGGTGACGCGTGTGACGATCGCGGCGGCGCAGGTTTTGTTCTCGACGCTGCTGATTCATATCACAGGCGGGCGGATCGAGTCTCATTTCCACATCTTCGGTTCGCTGGCGTTCCTGTCGTTTTATCGCGATCGGCTGATGCTGATCGTGGCGGCGGGGATCGTGATGGCGGATCACTTCCTTCGCGGGACGTTCGCGCCGGAGTCGGTGTTCGGGGTGCTGTCGGTGTCGAGCTGGCGGTGGCTGGAGCACACGGGGTGGGTGGTGTTCGAGAGTGTGTTTTTGTTCGCGGCGATCGGGCGTGCGGAGAAGGCGGCGCGGGAGCGTGCGGAGCTTGTCGTGAACCTGGAGAGCCGTCGTGACGCGGCGGAGCACCTGGTGGAGCAGCAGCAGCAGGCGCTGGACGCGGCGGCGTGCGTGTCGGTGATCGACGCGGACGGGTCGATCGTGTTCGCGAACGAGAATTTCTGTGCGCTTTCCGGGTACGCGTCCGAGGAGCTCGAGGGTGTTTCTCCGCGAGCGTTGTGCGCGTCGCCCGAGGACGCCGGGGTGTACGAGTCGCAGCTGGACGCGTTGAGTGCCGGGACGATCACGCGGATGGACCTGCGTCAGCGCAGGAAGGACGGGGGGGAGTTCTGGGTGCACTCGACGGTGGTTCCGGTGCGGGATCAGTCGGGGCGGAGCGAGCGGTTCATCCGGATCGATCTGGACATCACGAGCAAGAAGGCGCACGAGGAGGCGATCCGGGCGGCGCAGCTGGAGGCGGAGGCGGCGAGCCGGTCCAAGAGCGAGTTCCTGGCGAACATGAGCCACGAGATCCGGACGCCGATGGCGGCGATCGTGGGGTTCACGGACCTGATCTCGGGTCTGGGTGAGTCGGACGCGGACCGGGCGCTGTGCGTCGAGGCGATCGACCGGATCCGGAGGAACGGGAACCACCTGGTATCGATCATCAATGACATCCTGGACGTGTCGAAGATCGAGGCGGGGATGATGACGGTGGACCCGATGGAGGTGTCGTTCGTCCGGTTCGTGGAGGACGTGGCGTACCTGCTGGCGCCGCTCGCGGAGGAGAAGGGCCTGGAGTTCCGGGTCGAGTACGAGACGAGCGTGCCTGGCGTGGTGTCGACGGATCCTCTGCGTCTCAAACAGATCATTTACAACCTGATGAGCAACGCGATCAAGTTCACGGAGCGCGGGCGTGTCGTGCTGCGTGTGGGGCACCTGGTGGACGGGCGGGGGCGGCACATGGTGCGGTTCGTGTGCGAGGACACGGGGATCGGGATGACGGCGGCGCAGATGGGGCGGATGTGCGAGGCGTTCACGCAGGCGGATTGCTCGATCACTCGGAAGTTCGGCGGGACGGGGCTGGGGCTGCGGATCAGCTCGGCGTACTCGGAGATGCTCGGGGGTTCGCTCGTGATCTCGAGCGAGCACGGGAAGGGGGCTTCGATCCGGGCGATGGTGGACGTGGGGGCGTGCCGGGGTGTTCGTTTCATCGAGCCTGAGGAGATCGGTCGCGACGCGCGTTCGAACGGGGAGGCGTCGTCTGTGGGGGGGCGGGGCGTGCCCGCGGAGGCGTGCGCGGGGCTGCGGGTGCTGCTGGCGGAGGACGGGCCGGACAACCAGCGTCTGATCACGACGATCCTGCGGCGTGCTGGCGCTGAGGTGGACGTGGCGAGCAACGGGGTGGAGGCGCTGGAGCGATTCGAGGCGTCGGTCTCGGGCGATCACCCGTACAACCTGATCCTGCTCGACATGCAGATGCCGGTGATGGACGGGTACACGACGGCGAACCGGATCCGCGAGCGCGGGTGGTGCGTTCCGATCGTGGCGCTGACGGCGCACGCGATGTCGGGTGACCGGGAGAGGTGCGTGGAGGCGGGTTGCGATGATTACGCGACGAAGCCGGTGACGCGCGCGAAGCTGCTCGAGGTGGTGAGCTCGTGGGCGAGCGCGTGGTACATCGAGACGCGGGCCGGCTGATCGGGGTCGGGTGCTGATTCAAAAAGTGAGCAAGCCCCGGATGCGCGATCCGGGGCCTGCGGTTGACCGTCGGGGGCCTGCTCTCTCTCGTCTCTCTCTTCGCGCAACACCCGAGGTCTGGTGTTTAACATATCACGCGGAGCGGCGTCTCCGAACCCCGAACATTGTGCCAACGGCGAGAATGCCGGCGGTGGCGGGGGTGGGGATGATCGAGACGTCGTCGAGATCGAAGGTGACGTCGATGTCGGCGCCGGCGTAGGGGGCGTCGACGAGGGTGCCGAATTGCACGCGTCCGATGCTGGAAAAGACGGTTTCGAAGGTCAGCGGGCCCTCGAAGATGAACGACTCGCCGGGGCCGATGGGCACGACGAAATCGGTCCAGGTGTTGGGGAGGACCGGCGCGCCGAGGAGCGAGATCGCCGCGGCCGGGGGCCCGCCCGGACCGGGGGTGGCGGAATATCGGACGAAGAAGGGGATGGGGGCGGGGCCGTCGTGGCGGATGGAGAAGGTGAGCGCGGTGACGCCGGCGGTGATCCAGTCGCCCTCGAACGCGCCGTTGCTGGAGTTGAAGTTTTCCTGGCCGCGGAAGGCGATGGGGGTGGCGCCGGGGACGGTGCTCGCGAAGTTGAGCGAGGTGCTGGCGTAGGTGTCGCCCGCGCCGTCGGGCCCGCCGGTCGCGACGAAATCGGCCGGGGTGACGGAGTCGCCGTTGAACCAGTTGGCGTTGTCGGTCGCGAAGTCCTCGGTGAAGGGGACGGTCTGGGCGAGGGCGGCGGAGGCCGCGGCGAGTGTCGCGGCGATGGCGATGGTGTGCATGTCTTTCCTCCGGAAAGTGTGGTTGATGGCGCGCTCCGGCGCCTGGACAGAACGGGTTGGATGGTGTGAATCAGAGCGGTGGGAGGACGAAGTCCGGGTCCTTGGCCTGTGGCGACCACCGGCGCATGTCCTGTGCCTCTTCCCATGAGTAGCCGTCGGCGTGGCCGTCCATCATGGCGCTGGCGGCTTTGTTGAGGTAGGAGAAATCGAGGAAGCCGACCTGCGCGGGCGACGTGGTCGGGTCGGGCGGGTTGAGCTGCCAGCGTCGTTCCATGAAGTTGGGTGGGAGGACTTTGTAGTTGCCGTCGATGAGGTTGGCCTGGTTGACGGTGCCGGACTGGGAAGCGCTCGCGAAGACGATGAGGCTGGATTGGTTGCGGACGTCGGTGGTGCGTCGTGCGTACCAGCGTTCGCCCCAGCTCGCGCGGACGCGTGCGGCGTTGTTGGGGTTTTCGAGGAATGCGAAGCCGGTGCCGTCGGAATCGGCGGAGCCGCCGACGAAGACCTGGTTGAGCCCCATGCGCGGGGCGATGGCTGTCTGGTGGACGAGGAAGGCGCGGTCGCCGCCGAACTGGTCGGAGACCTCGTCGAAATCGGAGAACATGGCGCTCAGGTTGAAGTCGAAGTAGGGGAGGAGGCGCCAGGGGTAGCGGGCGATGTCCTGCCAGGCGTACTCGCCGTTCATGACCGAGCCGTCGGAGAAGCGCGCGATGACTTCGCGCCGTGCCTCGACCATCTGCTGGCTGGGGTAGCCGGGCATGAGGAACTGCTTGTTCTCGTCGGCGTACATGCGGTGCGCGGCGGCGAACTGGCGGGCGATGGAGAGCTCGCCTGTGTAGAGGGCGCACTGGCGAGCGTGGCCAAGAGCGGGGAGCAGGATGCTCATGAGGACCGCGATGACCCCGATCGAGACGAGGAGTTCGATGAGGGTGAAGGCTCGGGCGTGGTTTCGGGGTGTGGGGGGCTTCATGTGGTGAAAAATCTTGTGATTGGCCATTCCTGCGGGTCTAGAGTTCTTCCCGCTTGACAGGAAGCGTAGCGCCCTTGTCATTGAGAATGAGTCTCAATAAACTATCTGCTCACCCGACGCGTGGCAAGCGAGCCCGCGATCTTTTCCGGAGGAATCGGCCGATGCGGACCCTGTGCTT